TTGTCTCTTCACTCCTTATTTTCCTGGTTATCATGAGACATTCTTGCTTCTCCATCTAAAAGAAAGCTTTTATACCCTCAAGACTGAAACAATAATGAGAGTCAAGGGTAGAAAACTACACTGACTTCTCTGCCAGCACTTCAAACAGATTTCAATACTGTGAAATTATCTTGGGAGTTGTTATCTCTCAAACTTCAGGTAGTTAAGGATGATTATAAGACATGTTCTGTTGCTTAAGGATTTGCTGAAATCTAATGCCTTTTTTCCCCCAAATGAATGCAGCAGTGACATTTGAGTTAATTAAGGATCTGAGAAAGATGTCACCTTTAGCTATACTTTTATTACCATTACCTTTCCACAATCTAACTCCTGTGCCACGACCCTCCCTCCCACACACACCCTACCCCCTTCCTCACCATTATTAATCTAACCTGAATCACTCTATTCTTCTCCAAGAGAACACACCCCAGTGACAGCAATGAATCACAGACGCTCTTGCTCCTCTAGTCTCTAATGGACTTGACAAAATGCCAGGTTTAATAAAGTAAAAGGACAGGAACACCAGGTGAAAGGAGCTCTTTAGGTTCTTGTTCAGTATATTACCCTCAGTATTAGTTACCAGATACGTTTTCTAGTTGCCCAGTGGTGGACAAGTTTTTATTACACAAATGCTATTGACCCTCCCCATATCTTCACACTCTAAGTAGCCATCCTACTCAGTAAGGCAACCTCTCAGGGATGCCTAGAAGCTAAGTTAAGGGCTCTTTCATCTTGAGGTTGAAAATAAAATTGCTTTTGCTTAATGTAGCTAGAGAGAATTAAACAGTTTACCTACAAAGGTCACACTTGGATTTAAAAAAAGTCTTCAACAGTCTCTACAAATCAATCAATTATATATTATAGAATTCCATAGGTCTTTAAAGAAAAGAAATAGAAAGTTTGTCAGTCACTTAAAGGGAAATTTATAAGATGACAACACTAAAACATATCTTCTCTACCATGGATAGGTCTGCCCGAATTGAATTCATGGCAAGAGAAACATAGAGGAGAGTTTTTGATTTTCAACTTATATAGAAATATCAGAAGAAATATTGAAAGCCACTTAAGAGAATTTAGGAGAGTTTTTGTGTGTGTTATAAATTTGTATTAAATTTTGCTTAACTTCCCTAATGAACATTATAAATCAACTTAATCATGTGGATTTTACACAATACCTCACCCAATTAGATTTTAATCCTGTTTTACAAATGTATATTTATATTTTTAATTGTTAAAAGAATCTATGGATACTAGGTGTATCTACATAATATAAAAATGGTATTAATACAGAAAAGTCAATGGAATGGAATTTAGATCACTCTGAGATTACTGTTAAGATTTATAAAATAATGCTACAGCTAAGAATTTTAAAATAAATAAACCCAATGCAATGAAATTTTAAATTGTGGCTTAACCATGGTGTGTGTGTGTGTGTGTTTGTGTGTGTGTGTATATGGTTTATATGTAGAAAGAGAGAAAGACTATTTTCTTCTTGTCATTAAAAAAGCCTCATAAAGATTTTTAGGCCTATGTCATCATCCCACTGACAATAATCACAGACTAAGGGAAGAAACATTCACCACTCCCTAATGAATAACAAAGTAGCTAACAGTAGCCTTGGGTATTGGAGAAATTTAAAAACACAGGGGAAGCCTCCCTTAGGTTAATATTAATTACTATTATCATAGAATTCTATTGTTCAAATTGTTCTCTATGGTAGAATAAGGAGTCCTTGCCTTCTGGCTCTCTAGGGCAGTGTTTTTCCCACCCTGAAAAATTTCAAGAAAACACAATGTCTCATGTCACAAACAACAAACTACTTATAAAACAATAGATTTGGGGCACTTAAAGTCATGGAAGTGTTTGCTAGGCTTTATCTAAAGATAAAATGAAAACTGTACGGGGGCTCTATTCCAGATTCCTTACACCAAGTCGAGAGTGGAAGCTATGTTTCCACTTGCAAATGTCACCGGAGTGAGTAAAATACAAACTTAAATGTGGGAAGATCATTCAGTTGTAACAACATATGGAAGCCAGAGATGTAGGTAAAAAAACACACATTTCTAAAATACAGGTTGTTCTGAATAGTTACTCTGAAGTTCTTTGAAAATCTGGCCAAAACAATCCCATTTAATATAGCAGTTCACATAATAAGCAAGTCAGAACATTTGCAAGGCAAGATGTTGTTTTCCTTTATGCAGCGAGCAAAAACACAGCTCTAAGCTTGGGCTGTCCCGATAAAAGGATTTTGGAGCAGCTGATTTTAGAGAATCATAAAAACAACCCAACCCTATGCCCCAAGGTATAAAGAATATGCAGAGTCTGCATTGTGCTTCCAGTGTCAGGACAAATCAGTCTGCTCTTTTCAGTGTGAGTAACTGATGCCAATGGATGAGTTAAGGGAGAAATAAATGTACAGACAGACCTGTGGCTTGATGTGGTAACACTTGTGTCAGAAAATCATGAGTTTGGGGTACCTGGGTGGGTCATTTGGTTAAGCATCTGCTTTTGGCTCCAGTCATGGTTCCAGGTCCTGGGATCCAGCCCCCTCGACTGGTTCCCTGCTCAACTGGTAGTCTGCTTCTCCCTCTGCCCCTGCTATTCCCTCTGCTTGTGTTCTGTCAGGTGGGTACATAAAGTCTTTAAAAAAAAAAAGAAAAGAAAAGACAAAAGAAAATCGTGAGTTCTCTTTCATTTTGTAAATTCCTTGAGGTTAATTTATGTAATTTTTTAAAATTTAGAAGGGGAATATATATTAATTATATATGGAAGCGCCAAGTTTTCTGCTACTTTCAGCTTGAATTGTGTGGGGTTTTATGGATTACAGCATCTTTAAAAAAAAAACCTGGCCTTTTTTTGGGGAGATAAAGCAGAAGGATGAAAGAATTACCATGCATACTGTTATATCAATTAAGGAATGGTGCATATAGAAGCATATATAAAATGACAACTATGGAGTGGGTCCTAAATATCTACTTGCTGTTTTCCTTGCCCCTCATGAATTCTCATTTAATCCTCCAATCCCTAGGAGGTTGATATTATTATACCTGTTTTACAGATGAGGAAACCCGGGCATAGAGACACTACTTGACAAAGCATATAAAATAATGGTGTCAGGATTTGAACCTCGGCAATTCGCCTCCAAGGTTTACGTCCTTAATCACTGCACTGGGTTGTCTTCAGTTTCTCTGTATCTCACTACTTAGAACTCAGTTAATTCCTCAGGGTCCTGGCACCTCTAAGCTATTAGCTCTTTGCAGAGACAGTATCAACGTTTAAAATGGACATTCAGGGGCACCTGGGTGGCTCAGTGGGTTAAAGCCTCTGCCTTTGGCTCAGGTCATGATCCATCAGGCTCTCTGCTCCGGCGGGGAGCCTGCTTCCTCCTCTGTTTCTCTCTCTGCCTGCCTCTCTGCCTACTGGTGATCTCTGTCAAATAAATGAATAAAATCTTAAAAAAAAAATTTTAAATAAAATGGCCACTCATTAGGTTGAAAACACCAGCTCCTTAAAATTCCCAACTTCCAGGTGACTCAGAAATTACTGAGTAATTGTCTTTCCCCAAACCCAGTGCTCCACCCGATTTATTTAACTTTGTTGTTGCACAGCAACAGAACATTGCTACCAGGAAGTGAGGGTTGTTTTTTTTTTTTTTTTTTAATGTTTTATATTTAAAAGTAATCTCTACAGCTAAGGCGGGGCTCGAACTCAGTTCCCCCCGCCCCCTCCCCATCAAGACCTGCGCTCTTGCGACTGAGCCAGCAAGGGCCCCACAGGACGACGATTTTCGACGAAGGCGCTGCCCAGCATTGAGCAAGGGCTAGATCGGCCTCAAACATCTGGATTCTGGAAAAACAGAAACAAACATCTGAATTCAGGACCCACACAATCTTATTCAGTGACTGGTCTGCTTCCTGTGTAGCCCAAAGGGGTTTGACCCAAATCTGACCAGACTTGAAGCCAAGCTACAGAATCTCAGTTTGGGGGTAGATGCAGTAGAAAACCTGTGAGAGAACCGCCGTTTGCGACATCAGTGACTGGAGAAGGGCTCAACCCATCCGCCGGGCCTCTCGGAGCGACTTCTAACATGTTGGAGTCTCAACAGGCCGGCTAAACCAGCGCTTTCCTCTTTTGCGGTCTCTGCCTTAGGAGAGTTTAGGGCCTTAAATTTAACCCGTAGCCCGGTCTGCGGCTTCGGGTCCTGCCCGGTGTGAGGACGGGCGTTTCTTGTGGGAAGTGAGGACAGAGACTAACGACGGGAGGAGGGGGGGGCAGCGAGGACAGGAAAGCCTAGGTGAGGGGGAGGGGCACGCCCAGGCGTACTTCGCACACACAAAAACAAGGAAGGCAAGGCCTGCAAAGAGGAGGTAGGAGAAAGCCGCGAAGAGAAGCGCAGCACACTGAGGATCCACCCGTCTGGCATTCAGGCACTCTGCCCGCCCCGACCCCAACGCGGACTAGGCTCGCGGCCGCGCGCCTTGAGCGCTGTTAACCCTCCGCCGTGCTCCGCCCTTGGGCGGAGCAGAGCGGAGAACGTCAGTCCACCGGGCCAATCACACGTCTCTGCGGACCTCGCGTGACCCCGCTCGGCCTCCGCCTCCTCGCGGTCTCTGGAGGCCGCGCACGCGCGCCGTCCCGCCGCTCTAGAGCGCTGAGCCCCGCGGAGCTGCGCGCGTCGATCAGTTCAGCCAATCGCGCGTCTCTTCCGCCTCTCGTGCGGTCCCGCCCCGCCGGGGCAGCGCGCAGGTTCTGTGCTCTGGGGATGGCGGAGGGTGGTGGAGTCTCGGCTAGTGAGTGAATATCTGAGAGTTGGGCTGCTTCGGGTGTCTGTGGTGGAGTCGAGTAGAGCTCACTTTCTGCGGTCTGGGGGCGAGAATGAGCTGGGGTCTCTCGAGGGCTAGTGTGGGTGTTCTGCAGTAGTGGGAGGTAGGAAGCAACTCCCCTCCGTACCCCATTAAAGTGGATGCCTTTGTTTGAGGAAAACGGCTTAAGCCAACTCTCTTTCCAGGGTCTCTTCGCTACTTAAATGACACACACGGGCGTATGTTTATCTGCGCTTGTGTTCCTTGTTCGTCAGGCCTGAGTGGTCATTGGTTCTAGTCACACAGCTTTTTAGGGTTTAAGGTACTGTGACACGTCTGATGATGTTTTTCGAGTCAAGATTTCAGTTGTATTTCATTATAAAGCCGGCGTAACGAAATTAAAGAATTCCCGAAGAATTACAGAATTATTCTCGCTACCCCCAAATGGCGGATTTGAGGATATTTTGATAGATAAAACAAGTGTTTATATGAAATGCTAATTTGTCCTGAAAAAACCTGGAGTCGTCATGTGGACCAACAGTCTTACTTAGGAAAGTAAACGGGAAACTGCAAAAAAGAGCCAAGAATGAATCACAACTAAGTGAAGTCGTTGCTGGCGTATTTGTGGATGTTATATGTACAGGAGTAAAAAAATTCTTTCACAAAAATTGAATATATCGCTGTATCAGTTAATTTTATTTACATTCTTTTTTTTTTTTAGAGGTAGGCGAAGATTTCATTTCCAAGATGGAAAGCCCGTCCGACTCAGCTGTGATTTTACCTAGCACTCCACGGGCCTGCGCCAGCCCACCATCTCCCCGTACAAGCAGTTTAAGAAAACAAGTATGAATATCTTAGTTCTTTCGCTGGAGCTATTCTGTATTTCTACGTATTGTGCCAGTAGTGGGTTTAATTCTACAGAAAAATATCGGTTAACATAATGTGTAGATCAGTAAATAGATACCGAACTGTTAAATGATTTTAGGTCTTTATCCTAAGATAATGTGTTTGATCCCCCCCCCCACACCCTCCCTCCCTTTTCATCTTGAATTAGTTATTTTCATTTAGTTTCAGATGAGGTTACTACAAAATTCCAAATCGAGGACGTTTGAATCTGCAGTATTCTGAAGGTCTTTGGTGGCAGGGATCTAGGTCTTTTACGTAATTTGTAACTGAAATATTCATTAGCGTCAGGAATGTGCTAGTTGCTGAACAGATTATTTGTGATGACAAGGATAGGCGTCTCAACACTGTTTTAGAAGGGTTCTGACGTTTCTCAAACAAAAATGAAATTAACAGGGCTTGCAGGAATTACATTTTGTGATGGTTTAACTTTAGATAAGTGGAGATACAAAGCCATCTAGTGGTGTCAACCACTTCTGCCAAATAAATACAAGGTTTTTATTATTAGTAGGTTTGTTTACACAGGAATGTTTTTCTTGATTAATGTTTTGTGCTTTTTTCAGCCTATGAGTGCAACACTTAGAGAACGATTAAGGAAAACTAGATCTTCATTTAATTCCTGTTACAGTGTGGTAAAACGTCTTAAAATAGAGAATGAAGAAAACGATCAGACTTTTCCTGAGAAACCACCATCTTCAACAGAAGAAAACTGTTTGGAACTTCAGGAAAATTTTAAACACAAAGATGGTGAGTTCAAAGAAAGTATGTGTTTGAAAAATACCTTCAAGAATATCAGTGCGTGTGAATCTAAATCTCTTGATACTGAGTCATGCAGTGATCTCCAAAGTGACTTTGTGAATGAGGAACTTCCCAAACAGGGATTGAGTGAAGAAAGAACAAAATTGATGAAGCAGATTGAAGAGAAAGAAGACCTTCTTCGGAGGCTAAAACTGGTCAAAATGTATAGATCAAAGGTGAGAATAATTTCAGAACCACTTCTTAATATTTATTTATTTATTTATTTTTAAAAAGGATTTTATTTATTTGAGAGACAGTGAGAGAGAGCATGAGAGGGAAGAAAGTTAAAGGGAGAAGCAGACTCTCCATGGAGCAGGGAGCCTGATGTGGGACTTGATCCCCGGACTCTGGGATCATGACCTAAGCTGAAGACAGTCACTTAACCAACTGAGCCACCCAGGCGCCCTTAATATTTATTTTTTAAATAAGTGATAGGAAAGTAATTTCAAAGAGAAAATGTTTATTTAAGCATAATAAGCAATAAGCCATACATTGAGAAACCTGGCTCCCAACAACTGTAACTCAAATGTAAGTCATAGATTTCGAGTAGAAGAGGCTCCTACACACCAGATACAACTTTAGAACGTCCCAGCTCTCATTTAATATGCAGTTGAAGTTTTTCTCTCTAGTTTCCAGCCTGTAGCAATATTAGTATCAAATGATAGAATCAAGTACAGTGAGAACAAAAGTGACAGCTGCCAGTGAATGATTAAAAAAGCTAAAAATAGACCACAAAGTACAATAAAAAATATATTTTTAAAAGATTTTATTTGTTATTTATTTGACAGAGATCACAAGTAGGCAGAGAGGCAGGCAGAAAGAGAGGAAGGGAAGCAGGCTCCCCGCTGAGCAGAGAGCCCAATTCGGAGCTCGATCCCAGAAACTGGGATCATGACCTGAGCTGAATGAAGGCAGAGGCTTTAACCCACTGGGCCACCCAGGCGCCCCAATAAAAAATATTTTTAGTAATAGTCTGTGTTCTTCTAACTTATTCATATGTTCCAGGTACTTGGTTTGATAAAACAACAAATACAAAGTAGGTTTTTAGATTTCATCTGGGCACTTGGGAGAAGATAACCTTTATTGACCCGGGTCATTCATGTATATGTAGTGGCTCCTTCCCCAGCAGCGTGGTATAAATGGTGGAATATTAGATCTGATATGCTGTCTTGAATTTTTAGAATTTTTTCTAAATGTAACTACCCGGGTTTTATGAGATAGATAGTGATGTTGGAAATACTAAGTTGAATATTTTAATTTATATTAATTGAATATTTTCATTTTTAAAATGTATAGCTGTAATAGTACATATAATACATATGCACATATAAAAAGCACATATAATATAATGTTTTAATCTATATTGTTTCTTCTCTACATAGTTTTGCCCTGTTTCATGATTTGATTTGTCCCTGAGGGTAAAGATGGTCCGGAGGTTGGACCAAACAAAATAGCCATAGAACTCAATTTGAGTGTCATTGCAGTCATTCTGCTTAAAACCGTCTTACTTTTTCCTGGGTAGAAGTCTCAATCCTGACCAAGTGTGTTACTCTTTAAACCTACTCATTTACTAATTTAACAACTTTTATTAAGTTAAAATAGTATGCTTAGCTAGGTATTGACCTATTTTTTTTTTCCTCTTTTAGAATGACTTGTCTCAGTTACAGTTGTTAATACAGAAGTGGAGAAGCTGTAGCCAGCTGTTGCTTTATGAGTTGCAGTCAGCCATGTCTGCGGAGAACAGGAAACTCAGCCTTACTCAGTTGATAGACCACTATGGGTTAGAGGATAAGTTGCTACACTATAACAGAAATGAAGAAGAATTTATGGATGTTTAATTCATAATTATTTCCCCAGAATATTTTTGAGAATGATAAGTTAAAAGATACTTAATACATTTTAAAAGGAAGGTAGAAACCATTATGTAAATATAAAATAAGATCTAAAATGAAAATTTAGTAGTCTGGTTAAATTTGCCAAAGGAAACTTCATATTTAAAGAAATGTGAAAAAAAATTAAATCATGTTTAAAAAATAGTTTGGTCATTTCTGTAAGTCAATTTTAATATATTGTTTATTGTGGTAAAAAAGTTCTATTTTTTTTTTAAGGTTTTATTTTAAATGTTAAAAAATAGTTCAGTCTGGTGAATGTCTAAACCTATAGTGGTCTAAAAATGCCTGTCTCCTAAGTTTATGGACCGTGTTTCTATCCATTTACCCCATACTTCCATCTGGATGGTGTAGCAGGTAATTAAACTTGTCCATATGTCATTTTATTCTTCCCTGTCTTTTCAAATTTGTTTATTCTTCATCTCATTTAGTGAAATGACCATCTACCTTTTAAAAACAACATATCCTCATCGCCCCCCTTCAAGGCATACAAGGTCCTTCACATTTATCTACCTTTCTAGTTTCATCCATTCAGTTCATAGTGACTCCTCAGCTAGAAAGCCACCTTCATAAGGCTGTGTTTCTGGCTGCTATATTGTACAAAGTTACCTCTCCTTGTGGTTGTGTACAGAAATATGACCCAAGCTGGCCCAGTCTGAGAATTGAATTGTGCTCAGGAAAAAAAAACCCATCTCTTTTTGTGGCTGAAGCTATTGTAGGCAAATTTGGAAGCACAAAAGCTGGTGTGCTAGGAAGGATAGTATGTGTCCTTATTAAGAAAAGCAAAGATGTTAGATGGAGAGAGAACTTGGATCAGTGGCTTCCTGGTTCTATCCTCCAGTCCTTCCTGAGGGCCTTCTGGATTTCTCCTTTTGGGTCCTGTTAAAGGCTAAAACAGCTTTACTTTAAAAAATCCTGAAAGTACTTCTCTACTAGTAGATAAAGAGCCACTACCCTGAGGCCCCTCCTCCAAGCATACCCTGTTTTTGGCCCAGTCCCACCCCATGATCTAACAAATCAATATTTGACCTAGCAGGAGACATTAAGATGGCTGCTTTTGCATCCATTCTAATTGTTAGTATCCATGCTGGTACTACCCTTCCCCCTTGCCAAACACTCCCCTCTTACCATACACAAATTCCTACCTTCTAGACACTGGTATTGTCATTAGCTGCCATGAACCCAAGAGGACTGACCCAGGCCTAACATGGGCCTCCTCTGACCCTGAGATTTCTAGATGGGTATGCCTAGGAAGCTGTGCTGTTGGGAGCCTAGCAGCCTCCATTGCTGCTTGCTGCACAGCTGGGAGGTGTAAGTGTGGCATGGGAAGTGGTTTCCCTAGTGATGGTGCTGGTATTCGGTTGCAGCTACTTATTGTTGATTAGCACATCCCCTGGAGTCACCCTCACATGTCCACTTGGAGGAACTATAGCATCAGTGGGACTCTAGTTCTGGGAGAATTGGGGAGAGCAGTTGGGGACATAGTAATGGATATTTCCAAAGCACTGACTGGGTGCTAAGGGCTCTAGCAGCACAGTGGACACTCCTGCAACAGGAGATGGTTCATGGAACATGGATCAGGCTTACGGGAAAGTTTAATGCCCAAGATGCCCATGAGGCAGGACCCTTTTTTATAATTTCTGTTGAATTTCACCTCTATTTAATGGGATGCATTTGTTTTAAAAATAACGATACTATATTTTTATTCACAAAAATGAAGACTACCACTTAACAAATGCTTTGTGCCAGTTTACAAATTATGTTAACTCATTTGAGTATTAAAATTATTGGCATCCCAATTTTAAAGATGAGAAAATTTTAAGATAGTTATTTAATAACAAAATAGTTATTTAAAGCTCAAGTGGCAGAGCTAGGATTTGAAACCAGGCAACCCAGCAAGAGAGCCCTACTAAGAACCATGCTATATTTGACCCAGTTAATTATCTTACTATTTAATAAAATTTAAAGAACTATAAAAATACAATTGCTGTTAGTTCTGCAGAAGTTGAGAGGAATCAGCACCATGGACGGTATCAAGAGTGAGTTGGTGTGGATGACCCATGTGCCCTTCCAAAGCCAACCTCCCAAACCAGAAGATGTCTTCTGTTGAAAAGTGCTGCTAGTAGAATATAGCTTGCAGACAAGAGATTTCTGCTAACCTCCACTCTATCCATGTCTCAAAGCCAAAAGCTTGAATTGTCAGAGTCACCCAGGGTAGCCACTAAGAAATAGAAATTACATAGGCTGTTAATAGGGTGGTGGGGTTATGGACATTGGGGAGGGTATGTGCTATGGTGAGTGCTGTGAAGTGTGTAAACCTGGCGATTCACAGACCTGTACCCCTGGGGCCAATCATACATTATATGTTTATTAAAAAGTTAAAAAAAATTACACAGGCTGTTAAGATCTAGGAATCCATGGTGAAATTTGTGGCATTGACTGTTAGCAAATGGAGCCTAATAAGGCAACCAATCCTGGTCATCTGGAATATATATCACCAGAAAAAATGGAGAGGAAAAAAACACCTAGCAGAATCTTGACTGACTCAAACCAGCAGGACAGAGAACTTTGATGATCTCATCCTAAGTACAAAGTGTTTGTACTCTTCACACACTTAACCCTTGGGTCCAGGCTCCCACCCCCACAATCACCTTCTCAAAGATAATTTTGAGGGATCCGAGATGTAGAGAGTGTTACCAGTGGGCACTTGTCTGCTGAATCAGCCAAATCGACTACTTGAGGAGTCATTCTGGTACTAAGAAGGGCCATCAAAAGTGATGTTGGGCCTCTCACTTCTCTTAAATTCCCATCCAGCATTTATCAGTATATGGGGGATCAATTATGGTACTACCTGAGCAGTCTCTAGAATATTTTAAATCTCTTAAAGACTTTTTTTTTCCTAAATAGAAGCTTTTTTATGATAATAGCTCTCTTGCTTTACTACACCTACGCACACTGAATACAGTGTTGCAGATTACACTTAATGTTTAATTCACAAATTTCAGAAGAATGAGACCATAACATGTGAAAAGATTGTGAGGACTGGTCAGTGAACCTGATGGTATCATCTTGGAATGTAGCAGTTCACAGGCTATGGAAAGGGGAAGCAGTTTTCTGAGCATGTAATCTTTTCATTGTTTAATTTTCATCATGTATTACAAAGAATATTCAATGTAAAAGACTATGTTATGTTTATGCAGAAAAAATATGTTGTACTTTTCAAATGATTTAAGGCTTGGTAAAAGGAAATGGTTCACTTTGTTCTCATTGCTAGAATTGGGAATAAGTGTTCTGAGAAATGTCCTAAATGTTCTGAGAAATTTTTTTCTGATTATATTTTTTCTGCTGAAGAAAACTTGAGAAATATAGAAAAAAATATAAAAATCATCCATTAACTCTTAAGTTTTCTGGTAATTTTATAAAATTAGAAATGCCAGGAGTAGTGAAGAATTTTTTGTCTTTATGACAAAAACTAAGACTAAGTGAGCAAGAGAGTAAAATACATCTTGAATATTTTCAGTCAATTCCTGAATGAAAACAATTCATGATATTTTACACATTCATGCAAGACACATTTTTATAATGTTTAAGGTTAAAATTAAATAATTTGATATAAAAATATGCAACTAAGAAGCAGCTCTACTTAAATTTCCTGATGTGGGAGAAAAAGAAATCATTTTAATAAAATGAAATTATTTTTTAAATGATTGATTGCCTTGTGTTTCCCACCAGCATTTTTATATTTGAACAAGAGCAGGAAATGTTTTCATCCTTAATCGTTCAACTTCAGCCCGCAGTATTGAAATCTGTTCAGCTTGTTGTTTTGCAATTTTTGTTAGCTTTTGGTGTTGCATCATGTTTTCATATCGTTCTTTGGCAATCTTTTCACAAGTCAGTTTAGACCCTACCCCAAAAATGAACAAGGAAAGAATTAGTTGGATTATCATCTATACTTTCAAATATAGAAATAGAATTCAGAATCAATTAAATATTTGGAAGAAATGCTGGTAGCTTTATAACTACTAATGAGATTTCAGGAATAGTGATTACTATTTTTTTTATAAATTTTTTTATTATTTGATGTTAGTCACCAAAGAGACCTACAGTTGAGTAAAGAAAAAATATTCTTACCTATTGCATTACAGATGTCTTTTCTCTCTGAGACAGCCACCAATTCTTCTCGTAAATTGCAGCTTAGAGTATAATTTGCTACATCTTTTTGATTGCTGTACCTTCCCAGTTTTTTTAGTAGTTTTTTGCAATTTTCCACATTCTTTTTGTGGGTCTGAGATTTTTGTTCCCATGACACCCCGCAAAAATAATTTTGAAAAAAAGTATTTTTACAAAGACATTATTTTTTTAATTTAAATTCATTATCATCAAGATATCATCTTATCCCCATATCCCTATTGCCTAACATAATGCCTGAACATAGTAGTTAACTAAATTGTTCAAAGATAGAATGGTATTTTAATATGACATTTTAGAAAAAATCTTGTATATTCTTAAAAATGAGAGATTAAAAAAATACAAAGCCTTGAGATTACTTTGTTTCCATCTTATATATGTTATACAAGCTAAACTGAGCATTTCTTTTTTTTTTTAAACTGAGCATTTCTTAAGCAGTAATGAAAAAACAAAGGCTTTACAAAGCCAAAGAAAGACTATCGACACTTCTGTTAAATAAATTACAACTTAATGTAAAATTAGAAATTCATGTACACTCAGATATCTCCCAAGGGATTAATTCTAATAGTAAAAGAAGTACTTCAGTCTACCATACTTGTTATGATTGCAAAGATACCATTCCAGGACCTCTAATTAGATCCTGAATGTCAATAATGGACCACGGTTTTATTAGGTTCTGTCTGAATTCATGACTTGGAATACTATTACTTTGTTCAAATAATTCACAACTGTTGGGATTATAATGAACAATATCTTTGAGACCTACCTTCTCTAAAACAGCAATGGTTTGCTCCATTATTCCAATCTGAATGGCAATCAGAGTCTCATAGTTTGGTTCATTTAGGTACTTGGAGAAGAAAAAGACCCCACAAAATATGTAAGGTATTTTATTCTTTCAATAGATAACTTTATAAAACATTCTTAGTTT